CATGTGTAAATTCTTCTCTTTGGCTTCTTGAACCAAGTATTGGTGACAATCAGTCCATTTCGTTCACAAAATTCAATAAGCATTTGACCCCTGTGATTCCGTCTTCCTAGTCCATGTGATCCAACAATATTCTGATATGGTTCATCTCCAACAATGCTATTCCAGTCTCCCAATATGATGCTGTTTATGTCTCCTCTTCCCTCTTCCTGAAGAATTTCTTCAATTGTGTCATACACTTTTTCCACTTCTTCATACTCTGATGTTGGCATGTACACTTGCATAATCAGTATATCTACCTGTTCCGCCTTTAACTTCAGAGCAATAATTCTGTCATTACAAGCAATCTTCAAAGCACTTATGTTTATTAATTCTGAAGCAACTTAAATTTTCTTATTGTACTCAGTCAAACAGTTTTCTTCCTCTGTTGTAACTAGGGTCAGACATACATGAGATTCACACCTACTGAACAGATGTTCCTGACCAAATCAACCAAGCAGGCAGGCAGCTGTGCCTTGAGGGACTCAGATAATTTCAGACTCTGACAGTTCTCCTGAAACTGGTTGACTGTGTTAGATGATACAGCTGCACGTTACATAATATTGGATAACATTAATTAATGATTCATATGCACTGCTTGCATGTTTTCAGGCATTCACCCAGCATTTGCATGAAGGGGCCATGTCAGTATAGCCAACCTCTTAGGTTAAGAATAGAACCTGGGGCTCCCAAATATGGATCAGTAGTTCTGACCGTTCAGCTGTGACCTGCATCATCATAGTGAAGAAATGTATCATTGATTTTTTATTAGGATGAACTGTTTTATGAAAAAGACTATTTTTTATCTTCCCCATAAGCACTCTTCTTCTATTATCCACTCTCTTTCTTACCTTGTCTTCCAGTACTTGATCTCCCCAGTGGTTATTTACTCAACTTTATTTTTGAAGTTCTAAAAGAAATCCTATGGCTGTATATGTGTTCTTACCACTGAATCTTAAATGTTAAAAACTCTTCTTGTATTTATGCTTATGCTGCAGCCTGTCTTTCAGATATTATCCCTTCTTATTCATTTTGTAATATTCTGTATTAACTATGCTGCTTACAGTCTGTGATGGAAATTTACACAAAATGCAGACTTTATTTCATTTGAGTTCTACAGATTCTGTATGAAACAAATTTCTGATTCACTAGGTATACACTAAACATAGTCTTGAGAATTAATTTTGGTCTCAAAGCTGTGGAGAAAGATAAACTAGTAAATACTGACCATGTTTTGTTCTCAGAACAAAGGCCAAATATTAAATTTTTTTGGGTACATAAAAAGTTTCCTGATGCAAAACCTGTCTATGGTCACATTCATTTCAAAACAGGAGTCTTATTATAGGATTCTGACGATGGTGTATAACACACTGATATGTTGGGTTTTTGGACTTTATCCATCGTCCTGGTTTTTAAGATAACAAATAAAAACACGACGTTTCGGAAACTGGATGTTTCCGTCCTCAGGTGAAGGAAAACACCTATTCAGTTGGGTCCCTTAGAAAGAGCTAGCCTCAATCACTGGACAAACCAATGTCACAAAACATGAAGATTATCAAAACCTGAGGATGGAAACAGATCCAGTTTCCGAAACGTCGTGTTTTTGTTATCTTAAAAACCAGGACGATGGATAAAGTCCAAAAACCCAACATATCAGGAGTCTTATGTTGAGTGTTCTAAATAAGCAGCTCTACATAAACAAAAGGTAACACTTAACACAAGGCTACTTCTAATATCCTCAAATTATCCAAGAAAGCCATTGCCTGCACATCTGCATTGCTCAGCAAAATTCATATGAGAAACATGTTTATTGTTATGTAATTGCTTCTATGAAGATCAAAGTGTACAAAACACGACCGGATAATTGAGCCTTATCTGTGGTCTCGTGGACTGTTCTTATCTCAACATGCTCAATGTCAAGTGCCAGTTACAAAACCAAGCCCCTTTATAGTATTTTGTATAGTGTCAAATAGAATAAATGTATACTGCCCTTGAATTCGGTACATTTTATCTTTTGTATATGACAGCATGGTCTCATGTTGAGGAAGAGGCATAAACTGCTAAGGGAAACATCTGGCCCCAAGACAGCATGGGACATAGGGAGCTGTATGGTTTCTGCTATTCACACATTATTGCTAGGGTGATACATATGGGTTAGGATGGAGAGGAGTTTGGCATGCAAGGGAAAATAATGAATGAAGATATTTGATTTTGGCATTTCAGAGATATTTTTTGATTTGCATACAGTTATCACTGTGATGACTGTGAACGGTACTGTCTTCTTGCATGTAACACTGTGTAATCCAATAGAAGTTCACATATTTCAGAGGTCTTGCTACTGGCTTATCCTTCAACTATGAAAATGGAGACAGTTCTTCTGCAACATCGGTGAACTTCTACCAGTCTACGTAACACTACATCCCACAAGATTGTCCTCTTCAGTACATTTTCTGTACAATAAATTCTGCATGGATATCAAACAGTAAAGCCGGATATATGTGAAAGTTTAATCTTCATTCCTGACCTGTTATTTTATCAAATAAAGTTGGAACCAAATTAACATGAAACTCTTTATTGCATAATTATGGAATGAATACTCAAAGCCTCTTATACATCAATTCACTGTACCCTAACAAGCAGGAAGTGTATAATGCAATCCATTTATTTACTGAGGACAGCCTATAGCATCATGTGAATACCAAAGAACCAGTGAGCCCATGCTCTGGTTATGTTACAGGGGAATACAATGTTATATACATAGCCCAGTGTTCAGAGTTTTGCAATTCCCACCACTCCACAGGCAGAGCGAGCTCCAGCGTTTCCTGTAGTTTTGCTTAGTTCATGACCTCCTTTGCCAAGGTCATCTGCGTCAGCATGAACCTGCAATAGTACAAACAATATTCACTGCTGTATACAGAATCTTTTCTCTAATTAAATATTCAGGCTACATGATTCTATCAGTGATTCCACATTAAATTTGCTTCAAATAAGATCTTGCTCACTTTCCTGTTGAAATCCAATGTTCCCAACAGAAATAGCACCTTTCAGGCTGCATGTGAGACACTTCACAAAAGCAATGATGCCATCAGCTCTGAATTTCTTTCAAGCATGAGTCTGTGAAAAAGAAATGTATCTCCCCATCTCTGGACAGGCAGTGTTTAGCTTGTCAACAGCAGGTATCACATGTTCACTTACTAGTGCTAAATATTTTAAGTTCTCTGCATAACAGTGCTCTTATTATTAAATTTAATCATAAACAGGAAATTTCTAATTGATCCGTTATGACTTACCACTAGAGTTCTTCCAATAATGCTGTGAGCACCAGTAAGAGAAATCAATTTGTCAGTAATGTCAACTTTAGCAACCCCACTGCTGCCTGCTTCAATATTCCCCAAGTCACCAACATGCCTTACTTCATCACCTGGGCCTCCATGGTCCTTCTGGTAAGGGTTAAAGTGGGCTCCAGCACTTGTACAGCCTATAAATTAAATACTAATGTGAATAAATAAATAAATAAACTCCAGAAGTGGCTTTACAATAATTAAACACAGTAAAATGAAATCTTACCATTTGTATTGTCTCCAAATTCGTGGATGTGGAAACCGTGCAAGCCTTGGGACAAGCCAGTCACTTCTCCTGTTACTTTTACTGGAGAATCAGGACTCTACAGGAGGGAAAAATATTAAACTTGAAAAAGATCCCCTCGTCTCATCTAAATGCTAAGAAAGTAAACTGTATATTGCAATTTTTTACAGCATACTGGGAACATGATTACTTAAAGCATGTCTTTAAAATTAAAGTCTTATTTGCCGGTATAGGCTTTCTTCTATTCTCTGAAACCAATGCCAATAATTAATTATCAGCGATACGACTGTAATGCTAACTGAAAAGCCCTATGTGGTTGAAAAATATAATAACTTAGTACTACGCACAGTTGTTACATAACACGAAACTTACATTTTGATCGAAAAAGAGAGTTCCCTTGACCACTTCTCCATTTAAAACACACACAGCTTTCTGCGGCATTCTTAAACGTTCCTTTACTCCTTGCTTCAATACAGTACTTCGATGAATTAACAAAGCAGCAACACTACCGTCCTCACCGATAAGCGTCTATAAATTGTATAATGACCAGCAAGTTTGTATTTCTTGCAAGTAAGCTACCGGCGGTAATCCGCGTAATGTTGTAATACTTGACCTTCAATTTAACTGATACATTGAATCTATATACTTCAGTACGTTCAGTACGGTAACGGTACGTCTGGCGATTCATATTTTCCTTGGCATGGATCCTCATGCATAGCCTTTGGCATCTCATGGCCGACAACGAACGTTGTGTAAAGAAAATGACGTTTAGTACGTGTAGAATGGAAGTTAGAGGGGGTGAGGTAATATTGGAAAGTTTCTGTTAGTACACACAAAGACGTTGAAGCTGTTTCAGAATTTTTTTTTTTTTTTTTGTCCCTTTCATATTGTCTGAACATTATAACAAATGGCTAATCAAGTGTTACTTGAATTGGAATCAGCAGCGCAAATAATGTTGGTAAGGAACTCTTTGTTATTGCACAGTTGAGGTTAAGATATGTTTTAGTTTGAATAAATTTCGATAGCAGGTCACCACACCTTCCCGTGGAGACTGTAACCATGTCACAGACACGATCAAATGGTGTGTTTAAATTAGTTTGTACAGTAATGTTAATAGTTTATATTTCAACTGAAGAAAATAATCTGGCTTTGTCATGTGAATAGCAATAACCAAAACCAAAACAAATAATCCATACCCAGCTCTTGTATCTGTCACTTTTAATTTCATAAACAGTTGATTTAGATAGAGATAATGTTCCTAAATTGTACATTCAAAATTTTGTCTTCATGGATTTGGATATCAGTTATGCATCATCTTCAAAGTGAATTTCTGTTTAGGACACAGTAAATTCTTTCATTATGTTTGTGTTCCTAGTTTTCTTTTTTGCTGCAAATTTCAGGGTATGGTTAAGTTTATGAAGAATCTAAATCACAGATAACATGATACAAAAATGATACACTAAATATTATTTATTCATTCATTTCATAAGTATATTGTGTAAATATAATTTTTCTGTAGTAATAAGAATGATGAGACATCAAAAACAAAGTTTTAATTAGAAAATCAGGAGGGTTGAAGCCTCCTGGGAGAAAAAGGCATAGATGGGAGAATAATGAAATGAATCAAAAGCAACTAGAACATGACAGTGTGTATTTCACAGAGTCATTACTCTCTCTGAGACCTGGCCCTCTCTTTCCAGGCACCACCATCTATGGTAACCAGTGACCAGCGCCATTCGGCAGAAGTGATGCTTCTGAATTTTCGCAAAACGAAAACTCCATATGCATTATGCAGACATATTCTTGGTAATTTGAAGGTTCATTTAATAGTAATAAGAATATACAAATATATGATATATAGATCCATCCCCTAGATCCTAGTATGTGTGTTGTGGGATAAGTCAGAATACAGTATAGTACATTCATTTAATTCGATGCAGTTGTAAAAATCTGTCAAAACAACAAAATACATTACAGTAGACCTAATCATATACATTATTACATTATTAATAATTCTTAAGTAGTTGTACAGTATATTTTAGAAATTACACTATGTTCATAATATCTTTATTAGCAGTTTAATATACAATAAAGAGCTATTCATAGAAATTTCGCACATTTATATATGTTTTTTCTACATATAGCAGCATTTCTTTCTGTTTTATATGGGTTGGTGAACAAAACTCTCCAATCCCTTTCCTATGCCCACAGTATTTTCATTCCAGTTTCTTTCCAGCTCTTTCCTCCTCCCTTGGTGTACTCCAGTGCCTGGCCAAATCATCTTGTTTTTGGTTGCTCCATAGGTCCCTTTCCTTTAAATATTTATACAAATGCTCTTTCTGGATCCATATTCTGTCAGTTTTTTTGCTTGGCCAAACCAATGTAATTGTTTCTCTTCTGTCTCTCTTAATAGATTTTGATTTTGAATCTCTTTTGCATCTTTGACGCAAGGAACATTGAACAGTCTCTGATGGGGCTCCAGTGAAGCTGTGACAGGCCCAGCAGACCGATAGTGAATATCTTAATGTTTTCAAAACAATTTAGTTCACTATCAATACATAGTAGTATACACACATAAGTTTAATTTCCATATGCACACACAACTATAAAACTATATATGATATTTACAGTCAGATATATGATTATATTTTGTTAATAATTTCATGGTGATAATGAATTCATCATTTGAGTAGAAGCTGTGATTCCCATCTGGCAAGATTCATAATGAGATGTTTTGATTGGTTCTTCTTGTTCCCCTCCTCCTGTAATTGAAATCTCTATGTGATTTATCTGTCGCCCAACCATCGCCATCTATATGTGTCTTCCCACTTACTTGGTTTCATTTCATTTTCTTCCTTCTTTCCAAACCCACTTTTTCTGTCTTGATCTCCATATTCCTCTTGGGAATTTCCTGTTTAATTTCATGTGCACAACCTTCTTCAGGATTCTTTCTTTATGTTATTAGAGATTACTAGTCTTTTTACACAGAATTTGATTAGTAAATGTTTCACTATTGTCTAATTTATGTTCTGTTAATATCTTTACAAAACATACTGTGATGTAGGAACAGATTTTTGGTAAATATATTTTTTCTTGTTTATGTAATTTAAAAAATTGCATGTGTAATAACAGCTTAACTTGAGACTGTATATGCCAAGTAACATTTTGGTATAGGACATCATACCCAGACAGGAAAACTTTACACTGCAGTAACCACAGACAGTTTTGCGTAATTTAAAATTAAACCATTCTGTGTTACTCATTCCTGCTAACTTATAAGTGAATATGGTTTTTATTAGAAGTTGCTAAATCTGGAACAAATCATCAAACATACCTGGCACAACTGATGGATTAATATACATATACACAGTGTGTCCAGGTTATGTTAGGAAATTGTTTATTAAAAATACAAGATGTGAATTATTTTAAAAATTTCACTCTTTTTATTCAAAATAGTCTCTATCTGAATCAATACATAGCTGGAATTGATTGAAAAGTTTTCGAAAACAGTCACTGAACTCCTTTTGTGGAATTGCATTTAAAACTGCGGTAGATTCCCTTTGAATGTCCTGGATGGTGTCGTGACGGTCTCCTCTCATCACCAACTTAACTTTTGGGAACAACCAGAAATCTGCTGGAGCCAGATCTGGCGAATACGGAAGATGATCAAGGACTGTGATCCCTTTTCTGGCCAAAAAATCTCACACGACCTTCAATTTGTGGGGCAGAGCATTGTCATGGAGGAGCGACCAGGAACCTTTCTCTCGATATTCAGGTTTAATTCAAAGAATTGTTGCCCCCAAAAATGATTGAGGACTCTGAGATAATAATCAGAATTCACTGTTTGACCTTCTGGCAGAAATTTCTTGTGAATGATTCCTTTGGAATCAAAGAAAACTGTTAGCAGTGTCTTTACTTGACTCTTTTGCATGCGCACTTTCTTTGGTTTCGGCTTCTTTGGGCTCAACCACACTGCACTCCGCTGCTTTGTGAGAGGGTCATATTAAAACACCATGTCTCGTCACCAGTAACAATTGATTTTGTAAATTTTGTATCACTTTGGGCCAACTGTAACATGTCTTTGCAGTGTTCCACTCTGTCATGTTTTTCATCGCCTGACAGTGCGTGTGGTACAAACCACGCACAGACCTTCTGTTTACCCAAATTCTTGGTCAAAATTTAATGCACAGTACTCTTTGGTATTCCCAAAAGCTCCTTGATGAGTCTTGCAGAAAACATCTGTCTGATGCAAGGATTTTGGTCACTTTTTTTCACATTTTCAGTGCGACTTGTTCTCGGCTTTGATGCACGTGGAGCGTCTTCAACATCCTCGCTGTCATCACGAAATACAGCATACCATTGAAAAATGTTCGAGCGACTCAAACAGTCACAACCTTACACACTTTTCATCATTTCATATGCTTTCTCTGGCTGTTTTGCCTAACTTCAAACAAAATTTGATGTTGGGTCTCTGTTCAACTGCCATTTTTCGACGAGCATCAGAACAGTACTGTTACATTCAAGGTCAGAACACATGATGCAGCGATGCTTGCGCTTTGAAATTATAGACAGCCACAGCTGAAACCTCAAGAATCTTAACACCACGACTCACCAACAGATGGCATTGTAGGGCAAAATTAAAAGAAATGAGTCCTAACGGATCTTGGACACACCATGTATGAGGGTTATTCAGAAAGTAACCTCCTGTGAGCTGTTAACAAAACAAGCAATGAAGGGAAAAAGATTTTTTATATACAAAAATATGTACATACTTAAGCTGCTTCTGAACATAGTCACCACCAGAATTGAGGCACTTGTCATATTGGGCAGTAAGTTTTTCTTATGCATGTGTCAGAGAAGTTTGCCACCTCTGAGCTCAGCCACATAAACTCTTCATTACTAATGTTATATTTTAGCGTCCTGTTACACTGATTCATGTCCATGGTTTATGCTGACCATCTTACAGTGTATACGCTTTTTCACCTTATTCTTCACTTCCACACTACATGTTTCAGCACTAATGTGCCATCTTCAGGCGTCTTTATGCACGTTAAACTATTGTACTGCATGCCATAATGTCTTCATTCTAAAATGACTAAAATCTGTATTCATCACATAGGACGATTAATTCTAAATAATAAAACATTCACATATATAGGAAAAGAAATAACAAAAATATTTCGAGACACAAAATTGAAAATATCATTTAAAACTAAGAACAATTTACAACATATATTAAAATCAAGGCCACGAATAAATAAATATAATAATAGTGGCATATATAGCATGAAATGACTAGATTGCCCCATGGAATATATAGGACAAACGGGGAGGAAATTTAACACCAGATGTATCTGGTGTTAACATATACAAGAACATATACATGACACAAGACACCATAACAGCAATACAGGATACTCAGAACACATATTAAACACAGGACATGCATATGGTACTATAGAAAACACTGTGGATATCATAGCAACAAATAAGAAAGGACAATACTTAAACACATTGGAAAACTATCATATATACAGAACGACAAAGAAAAACACATATGAACAATATAAATAAAGATATATATAACCCAATATTTCACGAATTACATACTATTTACACGGAACAGCATAACAACACCCCACCTCCTACCCCCACAACATCATAACACAACCAAAAATGAAGACAGCACACACACAGATCCAGCAGTACAACTCATGCAGTAACAGGAGCAAAACAACACAGAACACGGTGAGTAATAAATATTATAAAGCCACATGTAACAGATAAAAGTCAGAAAGTGGTATTAATGAATAACAATTTCACGTTACAGATACACAAATATATGTAGGAGGAATGCTCACATAAAAGAGAATTGGCGTAATTCGCTTTTTTGAGTGCGACGTAGGAAGAATCCTGAAAAGTTTTATTATTTAGAATTCATCGTCCTATATGACGAATACAGATTTTAGTCATTTTAGAATGAAGACATTATGGCATGCAGTACAATAGTTTAACGTGCATAAAGACACCTGAAGATGGCACATTAGTGCTGAAACATGTAGTGTGGAAGTGAAGAATAAGCTGAAAAAGTGTATACACCGTAAGACGCTCATCACTACTGTTGAAGAGCTGTGATGACAACCAGTTCTTCAGGTATGTAAACAGGTGGCAGTCATTCTGAGCGAGATCAGGGCTGTAAGGAGGGTGGCCAAACTACTCCCATTTGATGTGCTTCCATAGCACTTCAATGTGAGCAGCCATACTTGTATGCAGAGACACATTTTCATGGAGGAGCATTGCACCATATGTCAGCATTCCATGCCTTTTGTTCTGAATGGCCCTATGCAGTTTTTTTTGGTAGTGTCTCACAATACACTTCTAACGTTATTGTAGTCCCTTGTTGCGTTATTTCTATCCACCATCAGCACTCCTTTCTAGTCCCGGAAAACAGTTACCATTGGCTTTCTGGCAGGGTGACGTTTGTTTTAAATTTCCTCAGTTTGTCTGCTTTGACAGCATTTTGGTTTCAGCATTCACAAATGAAACCCAGGTTTCATCATCTATTGCTCGTATGATGTGATTGAGAAATTCATTGCCGTCTTTGTGTATTGTTATAAAAAAGTCGAAGCTAAAGACATTCCCTGCATTTTGTGTGCACCCACGAGCATTTTTGGAACCCATCTTGCACAAAACTCTGATAGTTTAGCCTAACAGTGATAACCTCATAGAGCGGAATGTGTGAAGTTTGTGGAAATTCATACAAAAGTTCTGAAATTTTGAAGTGTTGTATATCACAAATTTTTTGGTCAGCACTTTGAACATGATTATCACTCACTACAGACGGCTGACTGCTTCGCTTTTCATTGTGAACTTTTTCCGCCCATCTTTGAACATTCTACACCATTGTAGGATTTGAGGTTCTCACAGTTGTAGTGGCATGTATCTCCGTGTAGTCCATATATCAACTGACATTTCAGAGGAACATATCACCTCCATCTTCAGGGTCAAAAATCAGCTGAAAGGAACCAGTGAGCAGATGGCTGAAGACGGAGGTGATATGTTCCTCCAAAAGAGTCAGCTCATATATGGACTATATGGTGCTATATCCCAGATGATGGCAACTTTCATTCAACATCATTGTCTTACAGTTCCTTCACCCATTACATTTTAGCTGTAAACAGCAAATAATTCACAATGGATTTCCAAAGAACTCATGTTTTTAGCATGAAGAAAGTGGATAACAGCTTTAATATAGCAGCTGGCGGGATTATCAGTCATGGGACACATCATTACTTAATCTGTAGAACAAGAACAAACACTAGATGACCAGTTATATGGTAGTTTACAAGGCAATGACTCGTGTGACACTACATCTCATGTGCGAGCTCTCCTCCGTTCACTCATTAGTTGCCTAAATTAAATGGAAGTTACTTTCCGAGTAGCCCTCATGTACCATCTCATACAACCTTATATACCATTATTAAAAATTATAAACAGTACAGTAGCTTAATGCTAGGAGCTACAAATTTTTGCCATGAAGGTCATTGTCAGGCTACAGTGTGTGTATTATAACAAAATTCCTGCTAATTTCTTCAGTTTTTAGTATCAGCCAATATATAGGTTACTTTCACTGTTAGACTGAAATTTATAATTTGAATTCTAAAATTGAACAATTTATATGTAATAATTAATGAATTATAAAATATGTTAATTTTGATTAGTCACCGTTATAATACCAGGTGTTCTGTACCCAGACAGCAAAAATATAAATGCATAGCAAGTGAACAGAGCAAGGTGACTTTCAAAATGATGATATATTTTGCTCTGCAGAAACCAGCTTGGTGCCATATGTTCTTTTTGAGGCTGCAGGGCTTCTGAAAGATGCACTTATAAGGGAATGGTCCTTCCTGCAGGAGGCTGACCTTATTTCGCTTCGTCAGTATTTGCTGCAGTACATCATACAGAAACAGTTACAGCCATTTGTTCGAGAGAGAATTTTACAAGTAAGTTGTTTCATAACTAGAAACTGACTGAAGTTTGATCTTCAGTGGGCATATATATACAGGGTGTCCCAGGAGGAATGGTCAAAACTTTGGGAGAGTGTTCCTTATCTTAAAGTATGCCGATATAACCCAAAACACCTATGTCCAAAGTTGAACGGTTACGGAGATAATGGCCCGAGAAAAGTGTGGTCTTCTGGTGGGTCCACGCACTGTACCTGTCAGCTGAGACACCTTATCTATGTTTGTCCTTGAGTGCGGTGATTCACACTAGCCTTAAGCTCATGTGGCTCATATGCTACCTACAGAGCCTACAGAGTACATTGCAGCAGCGTTGTGAATGGTTGGTAAATTACGTGTAGTGTGGAGTTGCTGAAATGCATTTTGTGTTTTCACACGTTGAATATTGTGATATGCATTCTGTGTATGGATTTTGCGGTGGCATTGCACGTGCTGCTGTTGAAGAGTACCAAAGGCGTTTTCCTGATCGAAGGATTCCATCTCGAAGTGTATTTACGCGAATTCACCAGACATTGCGTGATACTGGTTCTCTTGCGAGTGTTTCTGTGCAGTCTGAAAGGGAGGATGTACGAATGATAAACACACAAGAGAACATTCTTGAGATGGTTCAGAGAAATCCGTGTCTGTCCACTCGTAGAATGGCCTCTCGCATCGGTGTATCATGTATGCAGGTGTGGCGAACTTTACATGATGAAGAGTTGTATCCTTACCATGATCAAAGGGTACAACATCTGGAACCAGGCGACCATGCACAGCGTATGGATTTGTGTCACTGGATAAAAGCTCATCCTGAACTGTTAAGTGTCATTTTATTCTAGTGATGAGCATATGAGCATATGCATATTCAGCATATGAGCCACATGAGCTTACGGCAAGTGTGAATCACCGCAGTCAAGGACAAACATAGATAAGGCGTCTCAGCTGACAGGTATAGTGCGTGGACCCGCCAGAAGACCACACTTTCTCGGGCCATTATCTCCGTAACCGTTCAACTTTGGACATAGGTGTTTTGGGTTATATCGGCATACTTTAACATAAGGAACACCCTCCCGAAGTTTTGATTATTCCTCCTGGGACACTCTGTATATATATAAAAGACTAATATTTATTGTTTTATCATTATGCATGTGAAGAAGTAGATACGAATATGAGCAGATAATGGCAACAATAAATGGCACTGGAAGGTATGATTTATTGAGTTAGTGCGTTGTCCACCTTTGCCAAAAAATTCATGGCATTCCTTCACATAGGAGGACTGCTTAATGCATATTGTTATTGTCACCAATTCAGTATCTTAGTACACATGTAGCTGTGTTTCCAGAACTTTTGAAATTATTGAGGTTAGGTATTTTTGATGAAGTTGTGTGTATGCGTGTAAGGGGTGGGCCATAAAATCGGACAAAATACATTGTAAGATGAGGCACCGGCTAAACAATTAATGTCAAAACTATACTACATCTATACACCGGGCCTCCAAGAAATTTATTACATACTAGCTGTGCCCGGCCACGGCTTGCTGTGGCTAAGTCTGCCCGTTCCTTCCCAGTTTCATTTGAAATTACTCGACGCATTGCTTCCGCTTCGTGAGTACGACGACCTAAGCTTGTTCTTCTGCGAGGCATTATTTGGACGAAATATTTCAATTCAAACGCAGATCAATCGGCACAGCTCAATCCCACCGCCAATTGCACTGAAAAATAAGGAGAAAAGTTAAGAAAACAATGAAAAATAAACTATACTCACCAAATGAATGCTATGGTAAACGACACAGCCCAATTCCGATCGCATCTTCAAGTCTGGCTGCACGTCGCTCTGCTGCTTCCTCGGCACGTATTTGAGCCTGTCTTTGTCTCTTTCGCTCGTTCGCTGATGCCCGTTCTTCTCCAGTTTGATTTGCAAATACTCGACGCATTGCTTCCGCTCGGTGAGTATGACGACCCAAGTTTGATCTTCTGCGAGGCATTATTTGAATGAACTAAAGCAGATCGATTGCACTGATGAAGAAAAAAATGCTAGCAACGGGCCACTGTTATTGTGTTTCCATGGAAGTATACGCTAACTGTTCTAGCATTACTATTGAAACGACTGCTGGATTTTGAAGCGATCAGCGAAGAACTTTCGGAGATCTTCGATAAGAGAAAACGAACATTTACATTTTTATTTAAAACTCTTCGGAGCTGGACTATTATAACCTGGTTTCGGACACAATAGAGGGCACAATCTGTTGTTAGCAACAGCCCATTGTTATTGCGTTTCCATGGATCTTCGATAAGAGAAAACGAACATTTACATTTTTATTTATATAAGATAGATAGATAGATGAAAACGACACAGCCCAATTCCAAGGCAATGTCACACGAAAAATTAAATCAAAATGAAAATAAATCGATACTGTTTATATTTGGCGTTGGCTATCCCAAGACTAACTCCTTCGGCGCTTACCTCCAGGCTCTCTTCTGTATCCCTTGGCATCTGCCCCGAGACTGACTGCTTCTTTTCCAAGGTGGGCTATTTATACCTCGGCGGATGCTGTGATTTCACTCGGAATCTCTTGTGATACTTGTGACCTTGATACTCGAGACACTCCTGATACTGAACAGTCGCCGGAGCTAAACTCTCTTATACATATAGCCAGCGCTCGGACGGGATAGGGAATACCTTATCGAAGAGTTAGTTTCATCTGTTGCTTAGGAAATGCTAGCAACGGCGAACTGTTATTGCGTTCCCTTGGAAGTATACACTAACTGTTACAATTGAAACGACTGCTGGATTTGGAACATGTGGCAGGTTTTTACCTGTTTTTATCTGTCATGGGTGTGACATCTACATAATAGGCACACAAAAACGCGCGTGTTCGAATGCAACGATGTGTCAAAATTTCGAAGCGATTGGTGAAGAAGTTTCGGAGATCTTTGGTAAGACTCAAACGAACATTTACATTTTTATTTATATAAGANTGTTGCTTAGGAAATGCTAGCAACGGCAAACTGTTATTGCGTTCCCTTGGAAGTATACACTAACTGTTACAATTGAAACGACTGCTGGATTTGGAACATGTGGCAGGTTTTTACCTGTTTTTATCTGTCATGGGTGTGACATCTACATAATAGGCACACAAAAACGCGCGTGTTCGAATGCAACGATGTGTCAAAATTTCGAAGCGATTGGTGAAGAAGTTTCGGAGATCTTTGGTAAGACTCAAACGAACATTTACATTTTTATTTATATAAGATATACAAGTCTAGAATATACCATTATGTCTGCGGGAATATAACAAATTGCAACAACTGACTTGATGATACGGAATATCACATGAAGAGTTTTTAACCTTATTTTATGCCATAACTTTTGTTTTTATAATAAGTTTATAGTTCATTGTATTTTATAATGTAATAATTATCAAGTATCCAGCTTCACCATTGCAATTGCACTTCAGTAGTGTGTGAATATGGTACTCATGTGTTTGCCTGATGATGGCTTTAATAGCCGAAACATGTAGCTAAGCTAATTTTAGCCTTGACCATTGTATTGTTGTGTTGTGATGGACTCTAATAAAGAATTGCATAAAATCTGGCTCTCGCAATGTAACCTTCAATGATATATTGTGCTTCCCCTTTGGATGAACCCTTTATTAATCCTACACTTTGAATGAAATGTAGGTCTTTATTTATGGGGGTCTGATGAAGTTTGTTTTTATGGGCACAAAATTTCCAACATGCACAGGAAATTTTTTGTGAATATATTTTGAGTTTCAGATTTGATAATGATGTTGGCTGCTGCAAGGAAGAAGTTCCTGTTGACATATTAACAGGCAGTCATACTGCAGGAAGAACTTGGACTGAGGGTGTTTTAAGAATGAAGTGCTTGGGGGAGTACTTGAATTATGGGGAAATAGCATAATTACGTAATGTGAGATTTCATGTTCTTATGGCAGTAACTATAATAACTAGTGTCTTCAGAGATGTACTACAAGTACCATGTGGTCTGGTAGTCAGTGACCAACATCTTGTAGGAAGCTGCTGTACCCATCTGTGAGGTACATGTGTAAGCTGAGCGTCAAGAAAATGGTACAGATGTAAGGAAAGGGAGGACCCCCCTGGCGCATAACTAGCTGAGCCCATATCCTTTAATTATATTTCTACATTTTTATGTTGTAATTTAAACCGTTTTAGGTTATCGCTATAATGGTTAAACGTGGAAGTGTAGATGATTTTGGGACCAACCGTGGACAGATACTGACAGAAGTTGAGCATCTTATTCTAAGTGGAGACCCACCCAGGGTAAGTTACCACTTGATTTTGTAATGATCAAATAATTTTAACAAAATGGCTTTTGCCAGTTGGTTATTGTCTCTAACCTCTTGAACTCATATCGTTATCTTCATGATTTTCAGTCTGATTCTGTTCACATAACACTTTGACAGCAATCCGAAGCCCCACCAATTTCTTGCTAATGTGACAGTGGTAGTCCGGGGGACGGATTGTTGTCTTCAGCCTCTTGACAACAGTTATCTCATGATAATTCAGACTCAGTGCCACCTCAATTAAGACAGAGCATGTCACTAGAAAGCAATGTCGACGATTGAGTGCAGGAAGCTGTAGGAGCCACACCTTACATCTTATGCCCCTTCAGCCCTTATATCACCAGTATCAATTAGATTGATGGTAAAGAGAGTTGTATATGGTTCGAAGGTTAATTAAATTCATCCTCAGAACTTTGTCCATTTTGGATTTATTCATTCACCTGCCTGCTCATGGTTGAGGCAAAATATTGAAAGCACAGTAAAGGTTAAAAGTAATAGAAGATGCAGTTGAAATGGACAGTGTATCACCATATGGCAAAAGTATGTTTTTTCTTTGACTCTTATGTAATGTATTATGTTGGTCTGTTACGTAACAAAAACAAAATTCATGCATCTTAATACAACTAAACATGCAAATGTAAGAGAGAGGGAGTTACGTATTGGAGACAAAGAATTTGAAATGGTACAGAAGTTTAAAGAGTGTTGTATATGACAGTGTGATGTATTGTATATTATGAATATAACAGGTATATGGTGGATAGAATAATGTCAATGGTTACGGTTGTAAGTAATATTTTGTTTTGTAATATTGAATGATAATTATGAAATGTAACAGCATAGGTTGTCACATACTGTAACTCAACTTTCACCGATGTTATCTGCCAGAGGACACGCAAGCCTTGTTTTGAACTGAGGAAAGCAAATAAGAATAATCATGTTGCTTCACAGAGCCACTGGAAAACATCAGTGAAAGTCTGAGGAAACAAAACAAGGTCCAGGAAGACCCACAAACTGAAATAACAATACAATGTTCTAGAAACTTCCTACCTGATGACGTTTGTACCTTCCAAGGAAGCTTTCACAAAGCCCCCACCCCACGGATGGGGCTATAAGAACTTTAACATAAACCGTCCAAAACACTCTCTAATCTGATTACGAAGTTTAGTCTATAGTCTCTGTCAGTTAGGAGTTGGCCACTGCTAAAGCCTTAAGCAGACTTGCTGTTGTAATAATTGTACATATGAACTGTGAAATAAACTCTCTTGAATTAAGCATCTTCCAGCAGCTTATCTCCATCAAAATGATGGACAGCGTTTGCCGCTCGACTGATTCCGTCAGTCCAACCCACAAGTATCCACTCTGTCGCCCGACAGTGTGGCATACAACAGGGGCACGCAGTAGTGGAGTTGGTTGAGGCAATATGCTACAAGCCAGAAGGTCGCGGGTTCAAGTCTCGATGAGATCATTGGATTTTTTTTTCAATTTACCTAATTCTTCCAGCCCTGGGGTCAACTCAGTCTCTAACAGAAATGAGTACCAGGAATTTTCCTGGGGGGTAAAGTGCGGCCGGTGTGTAAGGCTCACAACCCTACCACCATCTTTGAGCTGATTGTATAGATAATGTGGTACCCTCAACGTCTCACAACCCTATGGGCCTCCGCGGCCCATTACAGGGGTAGCTTTACCTTTTTCTATTGCTCTGTTAATTTCAATTTTTCCTGCTTACAGCAAATACTTGGATGTAACATTATTTCTGCACTGATGCAAGAATATGCAACAACTGTCAAATCATCAGATGTGGGTCTCACATGGGAAACACACTTTAAAGCAAAGAAGCAATTTCAGGTACGGTATTTGGCATATCTGCCGGACTGCAGTTACAAACTGAAAAATTGTCAGCTAAGAATTTAATTATACTGGAGGATGGGACTGTGTTCTTCCTTGAGTCAGTCAGTTAAGAACTGACTCTAATTATTGTTAAATTTTCTGGTTATTTTCTGTTTCAAATCTACTGGTTTTGAACACTGCTGTATCTGTTTTGTTGTCACTGCTTGGTGTAATTGCACAGTGTAGCTAGTAATATTATTTAAACCCTTTCATGTTTCTGACCCTTCTACAACAAAATAAGTAAAGAAAGGTTGTTACTATAGGATTCTGACGATGGTGTATAACACACTGATATATGGAGTTTTTGGACTTTATCCATCGTCCTGGTTTCTAAGATAACTAATAAAAACACGGAAACTGGATCTGTTTCCGTCCTCAGGTGAAGGAAAACACCTATTCTGTTGGGTCCCTAAGAAAGAGCTAGCCTCAATCGCTGAACAAACACAAAACATGAAGATTATAAACACCTGAGACCAGGCTAAGTCCATGAGAGCTAATAAGAAAAAATATTCATAACAAATTGTTGCAAACACATACAAGCGTGGAACCAGGATAGATAGATCTGTAGAAATTTATGCCACGAAACCAAACTCATAACCAGGTCCATGACCCCACGGCATGGAATAGTTATCTTAGAAACCAGGACGATGGATAAAGTCCAAAAACTCAATATATCAGTAAAGAAAGGTTGTTTTTAAATTTTGATTATTGATAACAGACTTGTGAGTTCTGGTGTGGGAAGGGTTGGTAATGTGGTGGGAATGCATGAGAGAGTGAGGTGTAATCATGTAAAATTGGCCAGACTCTAGAGCTACACCCAGTCCCCAAGAATCTTTGGCACCCTAGTGTCTGAAACAATAAAATAGAAGGCATTGTCAGGACACGTCCAAAATGCTGTTCTGAACATCTTAAAAGTTGTGTTTTAGATGTTGTTTTCTTGCTTTGATGAGACTGTTTATTATGTCTAGGTGACAGATCTGAAGCGGATTTTTCAGTTCTGTGTACAAGCTTTGGGTGAACTCTCAAAGTTGGTTCCTCCATATTCAGATGAAGTGATTGCTCTGCTGAAGCATTTACTGTCCATAGCAGAAGGCGTCTTGAGCTGGGGCTTCATTTCAGCTAATCATATCCTTCAGTGCACAACTGGGTCCTTTATTGATATGTCCAGTCAATGTAGTCTTAATGATTATTTTTTATTTTTCATTTTTCATGAACACATGACCAGAGTTGGGAAGTGTGGAGAAGATCTTCTCATCTCTTAAATATTCTAACCTCTATCTCTTTGGTAACCATATTTCAAGTGGTTGGTTTCAGTACTGGAAAAGGCAACACTCAGCAATTAGGATTGTGTGTGTGCTTCACTGCAGTAGTGCACCCCATGGCCTGCTGAGCCACCTACATATGCTGTGGCAATATTACAGATCTTGGTGTCTGTTTCAGTTATGCAGCTCTTAGTCAGTTTGACCATACACATGTGCTGTTGCAGTAATGCAATGCAGAGCAACCTGGACCATGCATATATTGCATCTGACATCTGGTTGATCCCAAAGATGGGAGGCTAACTAAGATGAGCCCAGTATTAGTCAGGCAAGTGGAATGAACTTCACGAGTGGTGAGATCATACTATGAAAGAAGAGCTCCTGAAATGTTCATGTTTTGTACACAAAAGGGAAAATATGTAGAGAGGGAAGGAGACTGTGTTGAAATGTGATCAAATTTTCAATGCTCCATTTATTTAAGTGCACCTCACAAATTAAAATGTAAAGCTATACCTGTAAAAGGCCATGGAGGCCCGTAGGGTTGTGAGATGTGAGGCTCCCACATTGTCTAGACAGTTGGCTCACAGATGGTGGTAAGGTTGTCAGCCTTACATGCCAGCCACTCTTTACCCCCCCAGGAAGATTCCTGATACTCAGATGTTAGAGGCTGAGTTGACCCCAGGGCCATAGTGTGGCTGGAAGAATTAGGCCAATTGAAAAAATCCACCTCATCGGGACTTGAATCTATGACCTTCCGGCTTGTAGCATAGTGTCTCAACCAACTACAAGCCAGGATAGCACAGTCTATACTAACTGGATACAGGCTGGATGACTGAGAAGTCTAAGTTCGAGTCCCAGTAGGGTCAAGGTCACTTCTCCATGTCTCTCAGATCGGCTCTGGGGTCCACCCAAACTCCTATACAATGGGTACTGCAGGGTCTTCCCNGGGGGGGGGTAAAGCAGCCGGGGCGCAAAGCTGACCACTCACCTCCAACTAGTGCCGAGGCCAAGAAAATGTGGATCTATACATCCATTCCCCATACACCTTCATGGAGTAGTGCTTAATTAGTTAAGCACAGGGATAACTTTACCTTACCTTTTGCCTTTACCTCACAAATTAACCCTTTATATGGCATTGGTAAATATGTACTGTGCTTTTATCATTAAATGACACAGAATTAACAGCAGATATTTAATTAAACAACATTAACCATTTGATCTTTGTAATGTAGGCGTGATGTTTTATCTGAGGTGACTTTTAAAATATTATTTAGATGGACTTGATCTTATAAATGATCCTTAACAGAAACCTCACTGCCAAAACGTTTGATAGGGGTGTTTGAAGCCGTGTATGAATCTGATCAGAGCCCAGCTTTGAGACTGGGAACCAACTGGAAGGACGTAATTTTGGATCCTAATGTTGTCACTCTCTTCTTCACCGTAAGTATAAGTCTCTCCTTATCATGCAACATACATGTCTCAGCCTAACTGGCCATCGTCAGTTGTATAATATTATATTTTAGCATCCCAATTTATTTAGGTATCCATTTTGCTATAGTATCTGTCAGCAATACAACAGTATAAAATACATTAAGAATATGTCATTCACTTAAAATGTATTTTGATACTGTGATTGTTAAAATCATTAAAATGTCCATAGGACACTACAGGTATACAAGTTTATACATTAAAACTGATGTCAAAATTCATCGGACTGTCTTAATCGCAACATTTGATACATAAAACGTAATAATATATTACATATTATATACAGTATTAATGGCTGGAAAATAACTGCAAAAATACAACAACTAACATGAACTAAACTTTGACATGCATGAATGGAGCATGGAGAACAAGAAAATACATGTACAACTAAGACAATCTGACGAATTTTGACATCACTTTTAATGCTTTTAACAGTCATAGTATCGAAATACATTTTAAGTGAATTACATATTCTTAATGTCTTTTATATTATTGACAGATGTTATAGCAAAAAGGATTGGATTTAGAAGATGTTGGATTAAGGAAACCTGCTGTTCTCTTGTCACACTGTTCTACTTTTCATTGTGATGTAAAATGCTTCTAAAATATTTTGTTTTATGTTATTGTTAGATTATCATGCTGTGTTACTTTATTTGCATGCATGTATGTTTTGTTGATGTGTTGGTTATATACTTCTATGCTGTGTTTTTGGGATGATTCAGTGATCCACACTTGAGATCTTAGATTCTCACAGCAGCAATCTTAAGATTAGCATGCCTAATGATGAACATGTAATCACTTAATTTGTGTACCCACAGATTCACTGGAAGGTTCGTGAAAATCCGCAGTTGGCTCATCACTCACTCAACTGCTTGGTGCAGTTGGCATCACTGAATGGAACCGTGTTTGCAAATAAGGATGTTCGAGTTCAATACCTTGCAAATTACATGCAAAATTTTCTTAATCTTGTGACAAGGTAAGTTCTTTGCATGTTAAATGTTGCTGAAATTCATTGAGACAAGTAGCATTGTGAAGCACAGTCCTTGAGCTGATAGTTGCTCAACTACTTAAATGGCCTGCTTTTATAGAACATTTCAGTTGGAAATTTAGACAGCAGGAGACCTCTGCAGAGACATGGAGATAAGCAAGTAAGTAAGTAAAGCTGTCCCTGTAAGAGGCCGTGGAGGCCCATTGAGTTGTGAGATGTTGAGCTTCCCACATTTTCTCTAGACAGTTTGCTCATAGATGGCGTTGAGGTTGCCAGCCTTAAGCGCTGGTTGCCCTTTACCCCCAAGAATATTTCTGGTACTCATTTCTGTTAGAGGCTGAGTCGACTCCAGGGCCATAGTGCGGCTGGAAGGATTAGGTAAATTGAAAAAAAGTCCACCTCATCGGGATTCGATCCCGTGACCTTCCGGCTTGTAGCATAGTGCCTCAATGAATGCTACTGTGTGCCCTGATACATGGACATAGATGAGAGAAGAATGTTAAAATGGGTCGTAAAGAAAACTTGAAGGAGGGTGTGTAATGGATTCATTTGGTTCAGGACAGGGGCCAGTGATGGTCTCTTATGAACCATATAATGAACCTTGAAATTTTATAAAAATTGGTTCTGCCATCTTGGAGTGTGTCTTTGTCACTAAATTTAAAATGAAATTAAAAATTCTTGACTGGCAAATATTTTGAAATAGCTGCTTGCAAGAACAAAGTGAACCGGTCACCTCTGTGTTTCTTGCAGTGTGGACATCATGGACCGAGAAGCGCTTGGGATATCCAACGTTGTTCGCAAGCTGATACTTTTCTTTCCACCACCACTGCTGGTTGGAATGCCTGTTGACTTACTGCAATCCTTCCTTGAGCAGCTGGCACAGCTGACTTGTAGGTTCTCTGAGGGAGCTGCACAGGAGGAATCGGCAAGTATTTTGAATCATCATATGGAGTTGCATAACTGTTGCTGTATTCATCATCAGCATCCCATATCATAGGCCTGCTGGCTTGTTGCAGCCTCGTACCAGATCTTGTAGGATATTGATGTTAACAGTAATAGTGTAGAATAGGTAGAAATGAAGAAATGCGACATTCAGTAAAACTACGTTATTACATGGGCATTGAGAGACAGAATTAAGACTTGTGTTATCAGTAACCCACTGTATTTTGTGTGAAATACTTCTTTTTAATAATGTAAATCTCTCTGTGTAACCAGCCATGGAGGTCCATAGGACTGTGAGATGTCAGGGCTCCGAAATTTTCTAGATATTTGGCTCACAGATGGGGGTGAGGTTGTCTGCCATATTCACTGGCCACCCTTTACCCCCAGGAAGATTCCTGATACTCATTTCTGTTAGAGGCTGCGTCGTCCCTATGGCCATAGTGTGGCTGGCAGGATTAGGTCAATTGAAAATATCCAATGACCTCATCGGGAATGAAACCCATGACCTTCTGGCTTGCAGCACAGTGCCTCAACCAACTATGCTACTGCATGCCAAATCTTTTTAATATTTGTTTATAACAAATTTAATATTACAGTAAATTACAGTAAAAATGATGTATTTAGGTTTAAATGCATGCCTTATTTAATTGGTGTTTTTAAAAGAGTCTGATATTTTCTTAATGTGCTACAGCTGATGGCATTTTGTGTCTAGCAAGTCACTGATCACGTGCAAGATCATATTACTAAAGAGTGACTCACTGGATGCAGTCGTTTGAATGAAGTTGTCTATGAAAGAAAATCAGTAAGATTTGAAACAAAGTTTTTACAAAGAAAATGAGTGGAATCATTTTGGAAGACACGACTAGACACTAAGTATATCAGAATCCACAGTATAGCAAGGCACATGATAATGGAGTTTTACTGTATATGATAAAGCAAAGACATCATGTACTTCTTATGGCAAAACTGATGTTATCTCAAAGTGATTCACACCCAGAATGACAAGAATGAAGGTCATAGAGATAACACAAAGTAGAATGTGTAGGGTTAGATCTCAATGAAGACAGAAGAAATGTCATTATCCCCCCAAAAAATTGCAACCTTGTTTTGATGTTTACAGTTGTGCGCAGAAGACTGTCTATACATGGAAGCATTTGACCACATGCTTGAAGCATGGATTTCAGTTCTTCATGACTCGCAGTTCTTTCCAAAAGATTTCTGTAAGCAGTCTTCAATGCAGATCTTCAATATATACCTGAAGTGTCACCTCTCACCACCAGATGGCACACGAGGGCAGGTAATAATGATATATACTTTGTTCTCAAAATCTGGATTAAATGTAAGCACAGGTCAAGGACATAATGGACTCCTGTATGCCACAGTTATGATGTTTGCATAAGCGTGCTTCATGAGATGTCTGTCTGCAGTTGAAGAGGCTGTTAGTAAGTAAGTAGTAATTCTTCTTAGTCATACAATATTATATTTAAGCATCCTGTTGCACTCTACACAATATATGACATAAACTCCATCCTAAGTGCAACAATTTATTGTAGTTCTTTCGTCTTCCTTTCTTCTATACTACATGTTTCAGCCTCAGACACCCATCATCAGGTGTGTACTCTCACGTAGCTGCTACACTGCACACAGTTTAAAATTTAAGAAACACTAGTCTTCCCAATTGTTCATTTCGCCGTTGCTAACAGGTTTTGATATATCAGAATCTTCCCTGCTGATATCTGTCTGATATGTACAAAATCTTTGTTAACCTACACATGTCAGTTTGATTTTCATAAACTGGCACTTCTAAAATCTTCAATTCCAATTTTAAAAATTAAAGATAAGCAGCGGCACACACACAGAGCCTACAGAGAATAATGCCTGAACAGTGCTGAAAACAAGAAGTAGCCGCTGCAGCACTATAGACATAGGGCGGGTAACCCTGAGAATTTTAAATTTTAAAATTTGAAAAAACTTTTAAAATTGGAATTGAAGATTTTAAAAGTGCCACTTTATGAAAATCAAATTGATGTGTGTAGGTTAACAAAGATTTTGTACATATCAGACAGATATCAGCGGGGAAGATTCTGATATATCGAAACCTGTTAGCAACGGAGAAGTGAAAAATTGGGAAGACCAGTGTTTCTTAAATTTAAACTACGTGCAGTGTAGCAGCTACGTGAGAGTGTACACCTGATGATGGCCATTTGCGGCCAAAACATGTAGTGTAGAAGAAAGGAAGATGAAAGAACTGCAATAAATTGTTGCACTTAGGACGGAGTTTGTGTCATATACTTCTTAGTCATGTCATTATAACCTTGAATTTAGCGTGGTGCTCTTCTGTTTGCATTTGAAGAATGGTTTCATAGAATCAGAAAATGTATTAATGTCTATTTAAGTATTAATTTTAAAAGTAATATCTTGCAGGTTATTCGTTTGATAACACGTCATTACATCAAATGTAAACAGTAGTGCACCAAGCATCACAGTACATGGTGCACCTGATGATTATGTGCTGGTCAGAAGTTGTTCTGTTAATTTTAATTTTTAGTGTAATGACAGAATGACATCATGCTTAACCCTTCAATGCTGTAGTCTGTATATGGCATGCTAGTTGTTTCTGTCACATGTCGCCGTCTGATGTACGTAGCACGCATAGTGCAGCGGTAAGGTGGAGCTCATGTTTTGAACTGTTGTTTTTCACATAAAGTATTTCTTTGGTGTGAAATTAACACATTGCGGACCGGTTGTTTAAGTATTTAAATCACCCTAGGGACCGGGGTTTTTAAGCCTAGCACCCTAACTTGTGCACTGTTCACTTTAAAAATTAATATAAAATCTCCTAATTAATTTTATGAACTAAACTTTTGGAGAACACTTACCAGAGCTCCTAGAAGTGCTTGCGCATGTGATATCTCTGGAAACATTCCCCTTTGTGAAGAGGCATCACACAGAAGTTGCAGATGTACGCAGTCCTACTCTTCTTCTTGTGGACTGCGCACACACGGCACTGCCTAGAAGGGTACTTCTTCTTGCAATGTTCACTCTTCACAATTCTCATGAGGGTATGTTTCCGCATATCACCTGAGAGTCGTCCAGGGGGGTCCACATGAGGCCTCCGGCGGATGTGAACAGATGGCCCCGGCTGCACTACGTCTGTGTCCGACGCAGGTACTACCGCCACCGTGAGGTCAGTAGCCCAAGCTTTTGCCAAGTTCAACAGAAATGCTTTGTATTTCAAAGTAGAATTTCTGTTCGCCTTTCTGAAAACCGAAAAAGAATTGAAAAATGCACAGTTTATAAGTGACAGTGCAACTTTCTTCGTCCATTTTACTGTTTTCCTAGGAAGGGAATAATAGGCCAAGTACTGGTCGGCCCTGTCAACTCCCTTCATGAACATATTATACTCGGAAATACAAAGAGGCTTCTTCACTTGCCCGTGGCGTCTCTGAACATCAGCCATACTCGAATTGTGAATAGTGGAAACCATATTCACAACGCGAGTCTCCCTCCAGGACTGAAGAAGAATGTTCTCCTTCCTCCTGAATGCGGTGTCGCCACGTTTCAGGGATTTACATTCCTCTTTCAGATCTGAAAGTATGTATTCTGCAGTTGCCACACCGTTGTAATAATTATCTTGATAAACATGATAATTTTGATCCAGATAGGGACCCAAAACAGAAACAATAGTTTCTTGCAATTTCTTGCCTTCAGCAGAATAAATTTCTAGATTTCCTATATAGCCTGAAGTGCTTTCCATGACTACATGAACAAGTAGGCCATACTTTGTGAGTTTCCCAGGTTTATACGTTCGAATACGAAGCCTTCCCCTCCAAGAATCATAGAATCGTCCAAAGACAGTTGTTGCTCTGGCTTATAAACTGTCTGAAATTTCTCAACCAAAATGTCTAATAAGGGCTGAATTTTGAAAAGCCTGCCCGTTGGTTGTGGTTGCCCTTCATTATTATTGAAATGTAAACACCACCATATCTGTTCAAATCTCTTATGACTCATGAGTTTGCCAAAAATGGGAATTTCTAAGAATGGGTCACTTGACCAGTAATCCTTCAAAGTATCTCTCTTCATAAGCCCAATTGGAATGATCATAGCCAAAATTTTTTTCGTTTCTGTTGAAGTGACATCCACCCACTTCAGCCCCTTATAGGTGCGGTCATACACCTCACGGTGTTGGAGATAGTATCTGTTAGTCTCCTGACATAGCAGGTCAAAGAAACTATCTCCAAAAAACAGTGACACAACTTCAGACACATCCATTGGGTCCGATGGCATCTGCTTCACCCCCAGATCACCAGTAAACCTAAGCAAAGTGGGGGTTTTGTCCACTTTACCCCATGTGGCTGTCCTGGTACTCACACATTCATCGGAGCTCTCACTTTCACTGGACACAATATTTTGGGGGGCCCTGTGGCCCCTGTCACTGTCACTTTCACTGAGGCTGGCCTTGCTATCAGAAGACAAAGCAGTTGGCAAATCTGATAGCTCATCGGAGAACAAATCTAATATTTCTTGTTCTCCGAGAGAACACTTCACCTGAAACTGCTTTCGTCTCTGATCCATGTTGCACTGCTAACTTCCTGGTTCATACGTGGAAGCTTGGACTCGAACAAAGGCTTTTTTCTTTAGGTGTGACAGGAAATGAGCATGGTCATGTTACTGGCTAAGCCAGCAAACATTCCCAAGGTCAACTATGCAGTAGTTATGATGCAACATGGCCACACAGCGAGATATAGTCAGTTGCAACATAACACGTCAGAAAAGGGCCAATTGGCCCCTCCGGTCCTGAATGTGTTAAAGAAGAAATTGCAGGCTATCGTTTCATATATTTGTTGTACCACTTTGAACTTCCCGCGGCAGTTGTAATACTTTTGAATTCTTTGAAAACCTTTTCTTCTTCAGCAGTTGGTGCACTTATTATCACACAAACCTATCTTCACCTTGGGGAATTCTTATGAACTAAATATGGTAGATTGTACTGTGTGCTGTCCTACATGTTGATCAAATAAAAAGTTGACTCTCTTTATGCATATTCTGAACAGTGTTGCATCTAGATTGGAATTCGTAACCACTAGAAACCACGTGGAGAGTCTACGACTTTGAGACATGATGTTGACTCTAAGAAGTATGTTATGACTGCTATATAGCAAATGATAAACAGTTCTCTATATGAATATTATGAATTCCCCTTAGTTCTATAATAAATACACATCACGCAGTCTGGTTTTAGCAGCCAAGGACAGCTGGAAGCGGCAAAGTGGCCAGCTGTGTTGTGCCATGACGAGTGGGAGAATGTATTTACTTCAAAGCGAATCAGAGTTAAGTTTTATCCGATTCAGAATTTGATATTGAAAATGGGTGTTTGTGCTTTTCTTGATTCTGTGGTAAATGACAGAATCGAGAAAAGCACAAACATCCATTGGGAGAATATGGAGAACCATAAGGGACAAAAAGAAAATTTCAGAATGCGATGATGATATATAGGAATAACAAGGAAAATAATAGATCAGTTGTCAATCCAAATCCATTTAATTTGGGGGACTCTTTTATGAAATATGCTAATGCTGCAGATTGTAAAGTGCCAAGTCAACACTCATCAGGCAAAATAGTGCCCCATCTAAGAGAAATAAGTTTCATAAGCAAGATTCCACCCAAACTGCAAAGAAATCAAGACCACAGACACAGTGTGTTGTGTGTCAGAAACTGTACTGGTGTGATGCATGTGACATGGGGGACTGTGGAATATTTTCACGGCTAACACCCAGATGAATTTCTAAGGTAATACGATACTGTTATTCCTAATTTTTATAGGCTTATTGTGCCAGAAAATAATTTTAAAGTACTGTGGATCAATACATCGATTCTACCTTCACTTCTGAATGTAGTGTGAAAATTAGGAAAACAGAACTCCAGTTTTTCCAAGTTTATTACACTTAAAGTGGATTGTTGCATTTACCATTTTAAATGTTTAAATATCTTCCATCCCAAGGAGTCAGTAGGAATTAAATATCCTGCATTCTTGAAGAGTTAAAGCATGTGCTGTACATTTTAATAACATCACTGTTTGGGAAATCAGTACTGAATGGCTGCAGCTTTTCTTTGCACTGAAAGCGACATAATTATGGACGTGTGAGTTCAGTCTCTTTGACTTTATAAGTGGCAAATAAATTTACCCTATACAAATATAACAGGATCCTGAAATGTAGGCTGTGTGTTACTGAGAGCCTGGACACGGGCTAGATGGCCAAGGGATTGGAGTTTTTGTCCAGACAGGGGCAAGATGTTTCTCCCCTCCATGTCGTCCAGACCAGTTCTGAGGCCCACACAGCCTCCTATCCAATGGGTGCCAGGGGGCTGTTTCCTCAGGCGGTAGAGCAGCCAGGGCATGAAATTGACCACTCACCTCCAACTAGTGCTGAGGTCAAGAATATGTGGATCTGTACATCCACTGCCCATTCACCTTCATGACATAGTGCTTAATTAGTTAAGGACAGGGATAAATGTACCTTAATGTTGCTAAGTTTCGTTATTTAATGTTATCTTATTCTCAGGGCCGAGAACTGGATGTAGAGGAAATAGATGAAACTGAAGAGGATGACAGGACAAAGTTTAAGGATCAGTTGCAGACGATTGGCTCATTTGGAAGACAGGTATATCAGTGTTTAGTGCAAGGGTAGAACTGGGGTAATCATCATCACAGCTAATGGTTGTAAGACTGAACAGGTTTACATTGTGGTGATGCTCTAGGCCTGAATTTGGGAGTTGCTTGGTACAACTATGATCCATCTATGATCTGTCCCCATGACATGAACGGTCTGAATGCTGAAAGCATAATTAAACAACCAGAAACAGTGAGTGTAGTCGAAACTGCATGTATTTGTGACCCATGATGATGTGAGGCTGTGTCAAGAATTTTGCACTTGAGGACAAAGTATAGTATCCAGTGTGAAAGTTGTTGCACATAGTAATAGAGTTTTGCTGTTGATAATGCAAATGATAACACTCTCATTTATCAGGTACCTGCCCATTCATTACCTCTGTTGGCCAAACTGCTGGAGGACCGTACAAATCGCTTGCAAGGGCAGCTGCAGCGCATGCACTCACAAGCCATGAACATATCGGATCCTAGTATCCTGGATTGCATGTTTGAAGACATTCATTGGCTTGTCCTGATAGCAGGTATATGCAGTTCTTACAATAGGCAATTCAGTCCAATCCAATAAATTGCGGGTAGTCCATGCCAGTGCAGTCGTTTTTGGTATTGGGCCCCATCGGGACCCATGACCATATTTTTGTTCTTTCCAAACTTCTGCACGTTTTGACGAGAGGAGGGATGTGACTGCTATGGGTACTTCCTCTCTACTGGGGACTGACTGCTAAATTTCTGCTTGCTGTCACCAGCACGATTCTTGGTTCCCAATGGGACTCATGACCTAGCTTCACTGTCTGACACCTCTGGGAGACTTAAGACTCATCCTCTGAGTGGGCAGTTTTGTTTTGTAGGAAATATTTATAAGGTAGAAGTAAGTAGCTGTTTTTTTTAATCATTTCTTGCATCCTGTTGTGTGTTTAATTAATAGTAGAGTGACTTTACCGACTACACAACACGTTTTTCATTGTCACTACATGTTTCGACCTCAAGAGGTCATCCTCAGGTGTATGAACACGGCTGTATAATTACACGCGGTCACATTCACTTTTCACTCATTCGACCCTGTATCTTTTCCAGATTTACGCTCACTAATATATAGAGTTCTTTTTATAAAACACAGGTTAAAATTATTATTCTAATTTAATTGTTAAAAGTCAAAAGTTCATGAATTGAAGTTAAATTCACGACAACGATCATAACAGATCCAGCAGCATCAGAGAATGCGGAAGAACAGGGAGACCTCACAAACAAGTGAAAGTGCAACCAATAACATAAGTTGA